GATGAGAGGATCTACCCTTTCTGTTGTTATCATCTCTCCCCAGCACCAGACACAGAACCTGCTATTGTTGATGGATTTTCCTGTGGCTAGGGGCTATGTTTAGAATGTGTCCCACCCAATCCATGCACTAGAAACCTAACTCCCAGTGCAGCCATGCTGAGAGGTGGTTAGATCACGCGGACTCTGCTTTCCCGAGTAGACTGTCGTTATCAAGGTGGTAAGGTCCTTGTCATGAGAGTACACTCATTACAAAGCAGGTGTAACCCCACTTCTCACCCTTTGACCACTCTCACCCTCTTAATTTCCACCTTGAGATGACACAGAAAGGGGACCTTTGCTGGATGCTGGCGCCAGGACCTTGGGCTTTCAGTTCTGAAGCTAGGAAAGCTGTGTTGTTTGGGTTACCCAGTCTGTGGTGCTTTAGTGGCAGCCAGCCCCTGGCTGACATGTACAGGCACTGCTGTGTGAGCCACACTCTCTCTTTGAGAACTGTGCTGGATGGGGAGAAGGGACAGGTGCTGGGGTAGGATAGGAGGGGCCTGCAGTCACATGGGCGAGGGCAATAGATGTCTGGGAGAGGGAGGGTAGGAAGGCTGATGCTGACATCTCCACACCACAGCAGAGTGGAGAGGATTTGCTGACAGTCAGATGTGGGGCTCTCCATGGATGACCCTAGGTTTCTGTGTGAGCAATGCTAGGTACGAACCTGCCTTTAATCAAGGAAGAAAAGACTTCTTTAAAAGCACATTCCCTTGAGGATCTTTCTCGAATCCCCTCATATCCTACTTCATTTCGCCAACAAGAAATGAGAGCACAGGGGCATCAAATGGATTGACCTCAGAAAAAGTCAGCTGGCTGAAATCGAAAGTCCAGGTTCTAGAATGAATGCCAATTAGACTGAAGAGCTTACTGTAGAGAGTAAAAATTAAAAAAAAAAAAACCCTGCATAACATTTAAAACAGTAAAATGTCACTTTTCAAAAGGACATAAATCATTAATGGAGAGAAATAAAGACCATTTAATTCAAGGAAACTGGGGTGGCGCTCATGCACACACCCATACCCACACACACAGCCTCCAACAAGATCGAATCAAATCCATCTGCAATGTGCCTTTTAGAAGCATTGAAGAAAAATTTTATGTGCTATATAATTTTGCTTAATGCTCACTGCCATTTATCAGACATTTATAGTATGTTGCGCAATGATCTGACTGATTAGAACTGATTAAACCATTTGATCTCCACAAAGAGTCCTAATGAGGCTCTGTTGGTGTTATCCTTGTTTTATGGATGAGGAATGGAAGCCCATGGAGGCTATGTAACACATGTTGGGTCATACTGCTAATGAGCAGTGTGTCTGAGATACAAGTCCTGATTCTGGAATGTACTCTCTTGACCATGAGGTGGGATAAATCTGAACCTCTTTGGGACTGTGGAAAATACAGACCATGCAAGTTTCTAGTTCCTTGTGCTCAGTGTCCCTACCCCTAAACCTACACTATAAATAAACTATGTGGCAGGGTTAGATGAGTAAAAATCTGAAAAGATTTAAGGTCATCTTAGAGGAACATGCACAAGATGTCAAGAGGTCTAGAGAAGCCCTTATGTAGAGAATACCATAGGTTTCTTGAAAGATTTGAAAGTGTTTTCCAGGAAAGGAAGACCAGAGTTGAGGTGAAGGAAGTTTGTGTTACACAGGGAAAGCTTTATAGCTTAATCAAACCATCTCCAGAATGAGAACGTTGTCTTGGACTCATCAAGGTTCCCTGAGCAGAGATTAGATGACAAACAGGAATCCAATATGGACAGGGGTTAGTTGCCTACATTGCTTTTAAGTTCCCTTTCACAGGCAAGAGGACTGTTTTTACAAAGGTATGTGTCAAAACCCAAAGCTGTTTAAATCCTTGTTTGATTTTCAGAGTGAAATATCTTCAGCATCAGATTACAAGTCTGGAATGATGCTCTACAGGGGACTTAGGGGACAGTGATGAAGCTACCCTGGGAAGGCCCATGGCTCTTTGCAAGCACAATGCTGTTGCATTAGTGATATTTCTTCTCCTTGCAGTGTCATCTGTGGCCTCTGGGAACTGTCAGGTGGACAGGGAATAATTCCTTTTCTGTGAGACTTGGACAGGGGAAGGCTGGCATTTTAGAGGTTTCAGGTAGGGGAAGGGCGAGAGGCATTGCCTCAAGACAATAGTTCTCTTGTTATAGGACAAAGTGCCTCATGACCTTGATCTACTCTCAGATCTTTCTCTGACTCCCAAGAGACAACGCGGATGCTTAAAAAAATAAATAAATAAATAAACTCTCCAATTTGTATTTACTTGGGAAAAGGATTTTCTCTCTTAGGATGAGTGGTCTTGTCAAAATGATGGATGTGTTGATTCTCTTTGTTCTGCTGCTGTATGAGGGGAGCCTATGCCTTGGCCTGGGTGACAGTTGAGAAAGCACAGGGAGGAGGTAGGGTCCAGGGTGGTACAAAGTGTGCAGTTAGTCCCCCTCTCCTCTGTCTTGGTCTGCCCTCTTTTGACTCATTTTATTGAAGAGCCCAGCCCAGTGTAGGACCTACAGAGGTACCATTGCTCTAAACTTGACTTTAACATTCCACCAATACCCACAGATACTGTGAATTGGAGTGTTTGCAGAGAAAATATGTTTAGTAATATCCTAATATGCTATTTCTGGTATCTCTCTTTAGATAATCAAGATTCATCTGAGTCATAAAAACCTATACCCTGAATGGTGGTTGTAGGAGCATAAAAATCACATGGACTGACGTGATTAAGGTAAAGACCGATGTCTTAAGGAAACAGCTACAGGAGAGAGTTGGGAGTGCGGGGTGGAAGGACCCAGGCTTGAAGGTTTAGCAATTCTTTTAAGATTCACCCTTAATGTTTTCCTGCATGTATATGCCTGGTATCACAGAGGCCAAAAGGGGGCACCAAATTCCCTGGAACTGGAGTTATAAACAGTTGTGAACAGTCATGTGGGTGCTGGGAACCAATCCTAGGTCTTCTGCAAGAGTAGCCAGTGCCTTTTATCTACTAAGCCATCACACCACCTCCCCTGAAGCAATGATTCCTATTTTTTATTTCTTTTAATTTCCAATCTGTCACAAATGAATGTTTTCATAAAATGCAATAAACTTTTTTTTAATGAAGCCTTCTAATAGTCAACAAACAAAAAGATCACCATCTAATTGCTATAAAAGTATTGAAAAGTATGTTCTTAATTTCTGCAGTGTAGGTGCAAACGGTTAATGAGCATTTTGTGAGGTACCTTTGAGTAGGTGGCATTGGAGAACTTACTCAACCTTTCCTAGTTCCTTTCCTCAGTTTCCCTAGAGATGGACATGTCAGAAGTGTGTATGTGTGGTATATTTCAAGGTGTCATTCAAAGTTTAAGCTATCACTGCCCTCATTAACAACACTGGTAGTTGGTAACAAGACTGGTAGTTGGAATGAATGGCAAGGGACCAAGTTAAAGTTTGTTGTTTTCCTTTGGCAACAATGGTGAGTATTGTAAGAAAGTCATCAAGAACTGTTAAAGACAACAGCTTCCCTTGGAGGTAGCTACTTCCCAACATCCATCATTTGGCAGGGAGGCAGAAAGGCATCCCATGGTAAACTTGTGTTTGGCTATTGTAGTAGTCCACTGAGTCTTCCAGACCATGATTTCTGTGTATCTTAGTAGACAGCCATTGATACCCCTAGCAATGTACCCTCACCTCACGTGGATACATGTTCTACCTGTCATTAGGGAGCTTGGTCAATCAGCATGCCTCAGGGTCATGTTGAGAAATCCCAGACATCCACTAGGCACAGATTGTGGCAGTGGCCTTGGCATCGCACTGTCAGAAGCTGTGTCAGAGGTGAAGACCCTCCCTTACTGGAAGTCAGACTGCAGACCTGGGTGGGGGAGGAACTTCTATGCAGGCCTCCTGGAAATGCACTGGAGGCACTTTCTGATGGAGGATGGGTTATACCAGCAGCTTCCAGATACCATTGGCTCCCATGCCTATCAACGGACTCTAGTGCTCTGCTTCCTCTTTCTACAGAATCGAGGGCAAATCTCCCCACTCTTTCGCCTGCCTACCCCTGCCATCCCCTCCTGCCAGCTCTCATCTCTTCCTACTGCATCTAAACCATTTTCAATATCACAGAATATTCACGAAATTAAAAGTCAGCCCTGTAATATAGAATATAAAATCATTCTCTTCCCATTTACACATATCAGGGCAGGGGAGACCACCATTAATGATCACACATGCACACTATTTCCCAAACTGGAAATGTTTCAAGAAACAACACAGCCTAGTAACATGTATACATGTTACTTGTGTGTCTCTCTGTGTGAGTGTGAGTGCATGCAATGTATGTGAGCTGGCCAGGGTGTCATTCCTCAGACACATCCTACTGTTTTCTGAGATAAGATGTCACTGGCCTAGAACTTGCCAAGTTAGTTAGGCTGGCTGGCCTAACTAGCAAGCCCCAGCAATCTGCCTATCTCTGCTTTCTCATTGCTGGGACTGCAAGCATGTACCATCATGCCTCACTTTTTTTGCATGGACTCTGGGTATTGAACTTGGGCTCTTATGCTTGCAAGGCTACTCCTTGCCCACTCCTCATTTTTTTTAAAAAAGTAAATGTAATCTGACAGTAGAAATATACTATTTCCCCTATTTCCCTCCCCCCTCTCTTTCCGTGGTGGTGGGGATTCGAGACAGGGTTTCTCGGTGTAGCTTTTGGAGTCTGTCCTGGAACTTACTCTGTAGACCAGGCTGGCCTCGAACTCACAGAGATCTGCCTGCCTCTGCCTCTTGAGTGCTGAGATTAAAGGTGTGCACCACCACACCCAGCTAGCCTCTCGTAATCCTCAGGTTTGACATCACTTTACTCTCAAGCTTTTTTCTGTCTTCAGAGGGAAAGGAATGAGGCTTCACATGCTATGATCCCCAGCCTGTCCCCCTCTTAAGCAGCTCCCTTCCCATTGTTACCTTTCCAGCCTCTGCATGGTCATAGCAAGTGTCTTGTTCAGCTCATCGATCATCCTGCAGCCCGAGGGGTGCATGGGCAAGGTGCCGGTGGAGGATGGGAGGTGCTGGCCGTGGCTGCCATACTGCAGCTGGTGCTGCATCTGGGATGGCAGGACAGTGTGGTGGTGCTGGGCCACGGCCTGCTGGCTGCTCTTCTGGGCTGCATAGGATGCCAGCGAGAGCTCTGGCCCCCCTACAGGCATACAGATCAGGACTTTCTTTGGAGGTAGCGGAGGCGACAGTTTCACTGGCAGACAAGGCAATTTCACAGGGGCGCCCGGATCTGTGGCAGAAGGAGGGTGAGAAGCACATGTGAGTTGGGGAGCATTAGATGAAACCCAGAACATCATATATGCGTACCTTAGGACCACAGCCATGGAGATAGGCCCTCTGGGTACAGTGCATTAACTAGGCAAAGTGTGAGCGCTATTCAGTAAATGTTTACTAACTGTTTCCTGGCCAGACTACCCTGGAGCCCGGATGGGATGGGAGATGGGTCTCAGGACCCATCAACCAAGGCTCCTCAGCAGCCCAGGTAGGATGGCGTCAGGAAGGCATGAGCCATGCTATGAGCTGACAAAGAAACCTTTCACAGAGCCTACCATGATGACTACACATTGACTGTTGTTAAAATAACACATGCTTTCAGTTGACAGGGTCCAACTTGCCTACACCAACACGGGACAGAAGCCAATACTATGTTCAAGTCCTTCCTTACAAAGGACCATGCTGTCAACCTTAATTCCTTATCTGTCACTGAGAAGTTGCCTTGTGAGACTTAGTGGCTGCAGAACCTGACTCAGGCACATCAGGCAGGGGTGGAGAGTGAGCATAGTTGCTGGGCTGGTGGGCCCACTCTTGACCAACTACATTGTGTGGTTCGAGCTGTAGGGGGTGGCCTTGAGGAACTAAGGCGTTTATTATATGTACCTCACACATACGACTGAAGGTGACTATATATTTCTCCAATAACTTTGGTCATGGACAGTAGGCCACCAGAAAGTGACCCCTCTGGCTAGGCACAGGCTTATAATCCAGCACTTGGGGAACGCTGAGGGAGGAAGATTGCAAGTTGAATCCATCCTGGGCTACAGACTTTGTCTCAAAGCAAGACAAACAAAAACCAAGAACTTAATAGATTTGGAAAGATAAATACTGCATATTTTATCTCATATACAAAGCCTAGGCTTTAATTTTTATATGTGTGTGTGTGAGTCTGTCGGTATGTGCATTTATGAACATGTGTGTGATTGTGTAAGCGTTTATGGACATGAGTGTGCATTTGTGGATGTGCAAAGGTGTGTACATGCGTTTTTTTCTTTTGAAATAAGAAAGAGGACCATGAGGAGGGGGAAACACTTTGGGGGATAGGAAGACATAAAAAGGAGAACAATACAATATATAATACATGATATATAAACAAGAGGGAGGCAACTGGGGGGCTGGGGAGGGGACTGAGAGGAAAGGGTTAACAGAAGAGAAGTATATTAGAAAATTCTGCAGGTAAGCCTATTACTCTGTATGCTAGAAAGAAAGAGAGAGAGAGAAAGAAAAGACCTAACTAAAACAAACACACAAACAAAAATCCTACAGTAACTGGGGATGTGCCTCATTGGCTCTGGGTCCCACACCCACAACAGCAAAACCAAACTGAGAACACACACACACAATGAAACACTGAAGGGTGTCACTTGTTTCAACATGGTGGCACTCGAGACAATGCATTCTGGAGTAGAACCAAGCCCCTGGTTCTGTGACACAGTCATTAAAGCTCCCTAGGCAGTCCACATTAAGAGGTGTCATGGTCGGACGAGCTCTCAGAGAGCATTCTGGGAGAGATCCTGTAGTTCCCTTGTCTAGCAGTCCTTGAATTCATCTGGCCCTGTAGAGGGGTTGGGCTGAGCTTGTCTAGGAGTCATGTTCAGAGGGTGTGCTGTGGAGGTGTGTGGTGTCTTCTTGTCTTTGGAGTCCTATTTCTTGACAGCTGGTGTTCGTGTCCTTCTACCTAGATCATGCCAGGGCCCAAATAGGACTAGGCTGCCCCTCAGTTTAGAACTCATTCAAGACCTCCCACAGCCTACCTGTGGCTGGGTTCACACCTTCAGGCCCAACTTTAAGTAGTCTGCTCTGACCCCTGCTGTGGGAATGGGTGCTTCCCACATGGTACCCAGAAAGCCTCTGGGCTGAGTTACTTCCGTGACACATACCACTTTACTCCAACAAACTTCACTCACTTGGTACCCATAGATTCAGGTCTCCTCCCTCAGCTTGCTCTGCCAAGTGGCTTTTGTGCTCACTCATGATCTCATTGGAAGATGCTGAGGTCTTCCTCAGCCTCCTCTGGATTCCTTTCCCTCAGTACATTGTCTACTGAGGAACAGAAAATAAGGGCCTATGGCTCCCCTCCTCTCCTTGAGGGCTCCCCTCCATTCCAACTTCCAATTAGTCTGACTGCCTGAAGTTTCCATACCCTTGAGCCTTGGTGTATTTTGTTCCTGTGGTTTGGAATATTCTGTTGTATTTTTTTGGCCAATTCCTATTCTGTCTTCCAAATCTAACCCACAGAAAACCTCTCCCAAACTTACTTGGCTGATTGTATTGTGCCTTAATAACAGCAATAATAACACTGCACATGAAGCAAAGCTCCTACACAAGTGAACCATCAGGCAGGGTCACTCATGGCCACAAATCTGCACTATGAATGTTGGATTTTCAAATTTCAGATTTTGGAGGTTTATATGAGGAATATTTCACCTATGCCATGCTTACTAACCATATGTCAGACACTACTGTTCTAAGTGATTTTCATATAATTACCAACCTAATAACTGCCTCCTGTTTATGTAACTGTCTTCTTGCCCAGAGAACAGCAAACAGGTTTAACTTACAGTATCCTTACCACCTTGTTCAGTGCCCTGCTTGTGTGAAAAAAGGAGAAAAACATTACTGAAACCCTTTTTAAGTTAAAAACCTCGTGGTGTGTGTGTGTGTGTGTGTGTGTGTGTGTGTGTGTGTGTGTGTGTGTGTAGGATGTGAAGGACGGGGAGGTATGTGTACCACAGCACAGGTGTGGAAGTCAAAGTACAATGTTGCAGAGTCAGTTTTCTCCTTCGACCTTTACGTGGGTTCTGGTAATCGAACTTGGGTCTTCGAGCTTGCGTGGTTGGTAGCAAGTGTCTTTACTCACGGAATCATTTTGCCAGCCCCCAAACCTTTAAATTGACTTGAGTAGTTCCCAAATATTACTGACTAATGCATAAGATGATATTGCTTAAGGTATGAGGGAATACTTTCGTTTTAATGCAAACCCTCCCCCCACTCCAGCTCCAGCCCCTGGAGTAGATGCAACGAATGGTAGAATGGTAGCACAAGCCCACTCCCTCTGCTCCTGGCCCCTGATGAAGAGCAGCTGTGCATGCTCGCTCCTCGTTTCTGCAGCAGAGCTGTTTTGCAAACTCCTTTGTTGGGTTGGAGCTCTGCTGTGTCTGCTGCCTGCGCCTTCATCTTCCCTGGGATATGATGGATCTGAAGGGAGCTCATTCTCAGGAAGGGCGAACAAACACGCTTGTTTCACACATTCAAGCAAACACCCTTTTTTTCCCCCCTCAGGATATAGCGAAATATGAAATAAAATTCAAACAGAAGGGACCCCAGTATGCCAGCAACTGAAGTTAAAGTAATTTACATATGGATATTGAAAGAAACTGGCCTGAACATTTAATTTTTTGAAAACATGTTATTGCTTTCAAGATACCAGTTTCTCAAAGTTGTGTCTCATCGGCCTCACTGGAAGGCTTGGGAAGGGCTCATTTCTAAGCCTCACTTTCAGAGCTCAGGCACTGAGGGTCTTTGATGGAGTCCCCCTGTAAACAAAGTGCCTGGAGATAGATCACTCCTGTCAATGGAGGTCGCACTCTGCAAGTGTGTCACAAATGACAGGATTAAGGAGCAGAACCCAAACTTCTTGAGGTAAAAATGTTACGATGCACGACATCATCAAAGTGATGGCAGCTGTAGCAAAATGCACAACTCTTTCCTTAATGTTTCACTTTTCAGTCTGTAAGATGGAAGGAATCAACCTGTCACATGACTTGTGAACATTGGTAAGATATGGAAACTGTGTGGCATGGGGCCCAGTAGATATGCTGCTGCCACCATCATCACTGCTGAGCATTTCCCACCGGAAGCTCCTTTTCTTAAGGCTGGCCTAGGACACTCACGGGTTCTGGACTTCCCCAGCACTTCACCACAGTTCATTTTTCCTGACTTGCTGCAGATTCTATTTGCAGTGGGTAGCTGTGATCAGGTCAGATCACACCGAGTGTGGCCATTTCCTCCCCCATCTTACTGGCCATAGGAACTGAGCCTGGTACACAGTAGGCATTCAATATTGTTTCGTTTCTCTTCTTGTCATGTCTACAGGTTGGTGGGAAGAGGTGGCACATGGCATCCAGCTTCTCTCCCACTAATGAGGTCCAAATCAAAGAGTAATCTGTATCTAAATAGGCCTGAGAATCACCCTCTAAGACATTTTCTTTCTCAATTCTGTCCCCCAACAGGTGAAGTGAGAATTCTCCTAGACTTCTCTGAGGAGACTTAGCTAGCTGCTACTCTCAGAGCACTGGGCCGGGTGGCTTCTGAGACAAGTTGTGGGTGGAGCCAACTATTGGAATGACTGCTGGCAGAGAACTCAGAAAACCTGGGCTCTAATGGGCTCTAACTCAACACCACCAAGCACTCTGCCCAAGACATTCAACACTCCCCAGCCTCAGTGCTCAGGTCAGTGGAAGGGCTATGTGACCTATCACACAGGTTTAGTGCTGGGAGTAAACAGGTTAATATATGCAGCCTTACTGTTGGGCACTGCGGGAACAAGGTCCTGAGCTGACATAGATCTGAGTCACTCTGGAAAAGCAGCATCCTCCCTAAGGAAGCTTTGCCTAATTTCATAAGGGCTCCATACCAGTGGGCAGAGGATCTATGGTAAGAGACCCCCAGTGAAGCCCTTGGTGTGCCATAGGAATTCATCAGTGGAGACCAGACTGTGCAGTAAATACCACAATGCATTCCCTACCTCACCCACAGTTTGCTTGGAAAGTCAGCTACTATATGTCCTTGCTGTGGGAAATGCATCATTTGCAGCGTTACACTCAGGGACTCTTGTCATGCCTTTGAAAATCTCTCAACGCCAATGCTCTCGAGCCTGAGGTGGGACAATGGGAGTCAAGAAGGCCCTTGAGGGTGCAGTGTGCACTGGCGCTACACTCTTCCGAAAGCGGGAGG